GCTGGTATAAAAGAAAGATGCAGCCTTTTCATACATCAGGAAGGTACATCCACACATCAGGGACAGCTCACATTTGAACATCGTCCTGCATTTTCTCATCTTTCTGATTTATTCTCACTGAACAAGGGAGGTAATATATTTTTAATTTTCTTTACTGTTAAAGAAGAACAATTACATTTTTTTTTGACATTGTCTTCTCCTTCTCTCCAAAAGTTTTCTTCTCCTTCCATTCTGTCAAAGTTTTTACTTTGAAAACTGGAGTGAAATGTTGCTTAGGCACTAAGAAATCAGTACTTAGTGTTGAACTGGCTTTGTAATTAACAGAAAACAAGGTTGTAGGATTGCATTACAGCTAAATGGTGATATTTCATGATTTCTGGTCAGGTCTGGTAATGCTTCATTAATAATCTTGTATTTTTATCCTGGTCCACAGTATTGCTGCCAGATGTCAAATGTTACACAATTCATGGTACTAACATGTTTTAGAGTCTTTAAGTTGCTGGTTAAATATGTTAAGGAAGAAAAAAGAAAGAAAAGATGTTAGTAAAGATTTCTCAGTCTTCAGTGGTTTGCTAACAGCTTACAATGTACAAGACAGCCAGAAGTGAAGCATTGGCACTTCACTGTTGCTGTGACATAGCCGTACATCACTGCTAAGCACTCTGGAAAGAAGTAAACACAGTGTGCAGAGTGTTTGGCTCTTATTGGGCACAGCATCACCACAGTCACCATACAGAGCAGCATAGAGAGACATCCCACGTTTTCGCTGAAGACATTAAGTTATTTCCTATGGTCAGTACAAAGATGGCCCATCTAACAAAGCTCTCTGGAATGTCTGTGCAAAGACAAAGACCGCAGAATTTGAGTAGGAATTCTGGTTTCATGGTGTAGAGCATAAATATAAAGACATCCACAGAGTCCCACACGCATGTGCAAAGAAGACCTGTTTGCAATCGCTGATGACAAGCTATCTTTGTTATGGTAACTGGTAATAGGATAACTTGTTTACAGAACAAGACAAGGTATTGTAAATAGTAAGGTGAGTCTTTCACTGCTGGGGAAGGTTTAAAATTGTCATCTTTCCAAAGATCTGCTAAAACTCACACTTTACATAATCACAATAACCAAGTCATAATGTTCCAATAGCTTAAGAAAGATAATGATTAGCAGAGCAAAGTAAAAGCTTAATTTAACTTGGTTGTGAGGTGGTGTAGATATTAACTGGGTTAGCAGCATGGGCACAGTCAGAAAAGCAAATGCAGAGCAGAATAAAAACATCGGGCGAAATTGCTGTCATACTGCAGGAGTAGAGACACTTATGTCTGGGCTTTATTGACAGGTCTTTGTTTTTAGTACGAGCCTGACTGTCTGACTCAATAGAGGAAGTGCAAAACTGCAATTTCAATTCCCTTTTTTGGTTAGTTTAATTTAAACAACTTCCCTCTGGGATTGCCTCAGACCCTTTTAATTTACCAAATCATTTTTAGAGAAATTATGACAAAGAAAGCCACAACGTGTTCAGCAAAGAGCATGGAGTCACACAGTAGTCAGTCAGTGGCTGTGGTGTCGTTAGAGAGCCACTGGATCATCCAGACTTACCAAAAGGCTCAGGGTGATGTAGAAACGAGGTGTTTTGAAAAGTCTGTCTTTCGTCTTCTCCTGCTGGTAAATGAGCCCTTCCAGCTGGCTCCTTGCACTGGGCAATGTGTTGTCCAGCTCTGAGCCCCCAGATGGAGCAGGGCCTGAAGCTAAACTGTGCTTGTGTGTTCCAGTACAGGCGAGTCTGCCAAAGGTCACACCTCAGCTGTAGTACTGAAAAGAGCACATACAGTAAATAACCTTCAAAGAAAATTCCTATTTGCTGAAGGAAGAGCTCTGATCAATTTACTCATCACGACTTCATAAATGCAACTGAGCTCAGTTCACTTCCTAAAATGTCTGGCACAATCATGTGAATGTTGATTGACATAAATGGTGTGAAGGTCCATCCTGATGTTGTGGACACAGGTGACTTTTGTCCAGGGAGCAGAGCACAGAGAGCTGGGAGCTGCCTTTCAGAAATCTGAGAGCACTGTTTAAAGCTTCTGTGAGGCTACTGTGTTATTCACCCTTCATTGTCCTGCATGTTCTCAGTGTGGCCACATTGAATTAATTCAGTGGACATGGCCAGATCAAGCTGGCTTGGATCTGCCCTGAAGATCTAAAAGGAGGAAGGGGAGCACAAAGCTTACCTTATCACAAAACCTGGATAGTACTGAGTGAGCACTGGGATGTGTTAAAGTAAAAGCCCATGGCTGAACTTATGAGAAGGCTGAAGCAGTGATGCATGCCTCACATTTAGTGGGCATTACCCCAGGTTGCTGTGGCTATCCTTTGCTATACAATGCTGCCTTATGCAGGCTCTCTTTTTAACACACATCTCCAAGTTTCCCATAGCAGCTGATCTCAGAAGACCACTTCTTTTACTTGGATGGGTTTTGGTAAAAGCCATAGCAGAGAGAAATAACCACCAGTAGCATTCAGCCTACATGCATACACACGTTTACTACTTTTTTATACTTCTTCCAAATGCTTCCTTCCAGTGCTTCCACAGTTTCTTCCAGTGGGTTTTCTTCAAATTTCACCCTGGCTGCTTTTAACTCCCTTATCCTCTGTTTCTTGCCAGCATGGACCAACTTGCTGGGCAGGTGGGACTGAGGAGGTAAAGCCACCTACACCTAGCACCCAGCCTTTGCCTCCCATTATTGCAGTCTCCTCTCCATCCTCGATCTTTGCTGGGCTTCATATCAATTTCTTATCTCTAGTATTTGCTATTTTACTTTAAAAAGTTTTGTTGCCTCTATTGTGCCTTTATAGCTCCCTGTCTTGCTCAGAAACTTTGTTCCCTTCCACTTTGCTAATTCTGATGAGGCAAGGACTGTGTTCTCATCATCTCGTCTTTGGTCTCAGCATCATCATCCTGGATATGAGATTTTTCTGTTTGCTATGGGCATGGGCTTCTCTGGATTTGTTTCCTTCCTTGTCCTGAGTTCAAAGCTCTATTATATGATCAGAGCACCATAGCAATCTGACTACTTCCTTCATCACAGTCTGTTTGATCAATGAACCAAGACCTGCTGGATGTATCTCTTGGAATTTGTATGGCAATGGAGTGTCCCTCTGTTAATCCATACAGTCTTCGTACACATGCCAGTGCTCCAAGCTCACTCAGACAATTGTATCATGCAAGTAGGTTCACACCTTGAACCACCTTTCCATCCAGATTCAAGCAGGCATTATTTGTACATTTCATCATTGCGGCGGTGTCTGCAGGGATTCTGCTGGGGAGATGCAAATTCTGAAAAGAAATAGCTTGCCAGTATATGAAAGCTGATTTCATTTAATTATGCTTTGCTCTCTTGATTTTCTACTATATTTTCTTCTTAGGGACATCAGTGCCCTTTCCAATAGCATGGCATGCTCAAATAGCCTCTACATCTAATCTCAAGATTAATGTCTTTGTTGCTGGTATTATTGTTGCTTTCACCATCGCTGCATGTTTAGAAATACTTAGTTCCATAGTGGGATTCCTCCCTGGACAATATTTATCATGAAGTAGCAACAATGACTGGAGTGTTTGGAAGAAGAGCTCTTAACTTTTTTACCTTGCAAAGCAAGTGACTTTCAGAATCTAGAATGTATCAAGTGTTGTCAGCCTGAGGCCTTATCCTGCCTGTCAGCCACAATGCTCTGTGGGGACAACTTCTGTCTTTAAAGCTAAGGGGTCAGGCAGCCTGCACAGGGCACAGAAACTGCTTACAAGCTCCTGCTGTGAGAGCCTGTCCTGAGGTGCTGCCAGAACACTAGATGCTGCAGGGCCTGCTGTTCAGACACAGCCCAAACGCACCCCGTTTGGCTGCTGGCATGGCCTGGGGCTGTGACTGCAGGAGCAGGGAGACCTGCGTGATCAGATAAGCTTTCTCATAAGGCAGTTGGTGGCTGGGATCTATGGGCTCTGTGTGCTGGGAGCGGCTTGGGACTGCTGTCCCTGGGGGCAGGTAGCAGCAAGTACAGCACTGCTGCACAGCTTCAGCAAAACTGCGGGGTGTGCATGGACAGTGCAGAACCTGAAGATGTGCCACGTAGCATATGCTTTCTTGCACAAAATCCCCGTAAAGATTTTTAAAAGTTTGAATGAAGCGAGGTGTGTTTATACCAAACCAGCTTTCTGTATTCACCTGTTGATCGGAACCCAAAAGCCAATCCACAGTCCCAGTAAAACAAAGCCTGATGGAAATCTCAGTCTGGAAGATGATGGTGACTCTGAACTTGCTGTGACTCTCCTGATGAGGCCCCTGTACCACAGAGGTAGCCCTGAAGGATGCTCCAGGGCTGTTTAAGCTCTCCTGAGCTCTCTTTTGCACCATGTCTCCTTAGGCTTCTGCCTGGAAGGAACGTGTCCCCCCTGGGACCAAGACTGGGTGAGGGCAGCCCTCCTTAATGGAAGAAATGCTTTCTTCCAACTAGGAACAGGACTATGAAAATCTGTTTGTGGGGACTTGGGCACTAAAGTGGTCAGTGTGAGGACAAATAATCTGACTCTTGGCTCAGGAAATTGTCCAAATGTGAAATTATTTTCTCTGGAATTAGTCTTACTGTTTCCTGGATTCTACAGATTCTGTTGTCTCCTCCATAGACGTTTGCTGTCTTTTCTGCACTCTACCATAAATATTAGACAGTTACAGTATTTGAAGTTTATATGTTATGGTTTGTGTTAATATTCAGAAAATATTGTTAAGGCCAGAAGGAGAGGTACATTTTTGTTATGAAAGTGGTGATGAAGTCAATTTTCTGAGGCTATAAAATGCACATCAGTGTACTACATTTTCAGTTTCTGCTCTTGGTTTTAAATTGTCCCTGTTACTTGTCCTGAATGCTGTATTAGTATGTAGCCTAGATGCTGGTACTGTACCCATTCTGAAACAGTCCTCTAAAATGTGCTTATTTGTATTTCCAGAAAGATCATGGATTGCTACAGGAAGTATGCAGCTGTCACTTTGACCATTTTGTCTGTATTTCTGCATCTTCTTCATACTTTCCCAGATGGAGAATTTCTCATGCAGGGTAAGCTACTCAGTATTCAGAAATAGGGCAGTTGTAAAGAGCAGTAATTAAACTTGTTTTATAAATGTGGTCATAAATATTATTATTCTATTACATTTATTGATGCTGGGATGTGAAGGTATAATTATTTGAGATAATTTTGCTTCCTATTTCTTCTTTAAACTTGATTTCTCCAGGTCATGAGTCTCCCAGATGACAGTTTCCTCCTCTTGATGTGGTGACCTTAATCCTTGAAACATTATCAAACAGAAATGTTTCATTTTGTTGTACTTCAAAGTACACAACACCAGGAATAGCAAAACAATAATTTCTCATCTTAATGCATAGAATATATTTCTTCTGAAAGACCTCTTGTGCTGCAGCCAGGGTGAGGATGAGTTTACCAGAACAAAGCCACAGTGTGTAGTAGTGTGGCCATAGAGATCTCCATCAGCATAGCCTCCAACTCACACTTCTTCTCATAGGGTCATATACATATACTCCTCACTAACAAGGCAGGTCCCATGGATCAACACTGAGAAAGCAGTGCCTTTACCAACATCCACTCAGCAACAGTGTTAACACAACACAGTTTGATTCTGTTTGTCCTCTCTGGCCAATCAGGGCTGGGGTTTGTAGTGTTCCTTCATGTGGAGATGGCGTGAGTCCTTCCAGTAGCTGGCCTTAGAACCTCTCTCTGAGCTCCTCCCCACCTCCTAGCAGGCCTGAAGATCGTGGTGTCCTCCAGTTGCACCCAAGCTTACCTCCTGCCAGGGCCAACACACTAAGCCTTCTCCTGTGCTGCTCTTGGGGACGGAGTTGAATGCTACATTTTGATGATCAGGTTAGGTGGGCTCCTTTGCCTGCTACAGTTCCTCCCCACTGCCAGGTCTCCGTATGGGTAAAAACCCATTTTCACACTTAAAAAGATTTGATTTTTAATAGTGTTGAACATTTGCCTTCTGCCAATTGATTTTCTTTAATAAATTTTGAACAGAATAGAGAAAAATGCATGCTACGTAAATCTTGAAGTCACCAGGCATTTTTTAAAATTCACAGATAACTGAGTGTTACTTCCAAATGGGCACTGTCTAGGAAACACTAGGAAATACTGCTATTACTAATTATCCATAGCTAATAGATTTTACAGGTAGAGCTACTGTAGTAAGCCTACCAAAAAAATGCTATCAACAAAACTAATTTAGAAAGAACAGAAAAGAAATGCTTGTGCCTTACCTGGAAAGATGCACTCTAGGTTTACAAGAAGTGGATGTTGTGAAGATGAAAGACCCTGAAGAGGAGAGCTTTTGTTTCTGTGCTTTTCAGTTCTGCATGCATCAAAAAGCAGAACACAGCCAGTACTTCCTCTTACTGCCTGTGCTTTCCCTTTCTCTTTGAAGATGGATGGCCATCAAGTAAAAGTCTTTTCTGTATGTTTTTATGGCAGGTTGTCCAGAGTGCAAGCTAGGGGAGAACAGATTCTTTTCAAAACCAGGAGCCCCCATTTACCAGTGCACTGGATGCTGTTTCTCCCGGGCCTATCCCACTCCAATGAGATCCAAGAAGACCATGCTTGTTCCAAAAAACATTACATCAGAAGCAACGTGCTGCGTAGCAAAGGCTTTCACCAAGGTGAGAATGTAAATGAGACCATTTAAAATTATGTTAGAAAGCAATGTGTAAGCGAAGCAGTGAATAGAAAATAACATGTTTTTGCTGGAGGGCACTGAGCAGCTATTTGAGGGAAACATCTTTGGTACTTATATAATTTACACTTGTGCTCGTTAAAGAAATTAAAATGTTAACCAGTCCTGACTCTGATATTCAGTTGGGTATGGAAATTGATGCAGTGCCACTGACTTGAGTGAAAGTACTGTGACTCATGATGCATGAACTGGATTTCTTGACCATTCATATTTAACTCTGCTGGATGTGTACCCTCTCCTTAAATGTCACAAAGTGTGGATTTGATTTTAATTAGTCGCTTTCCTTGCTTCTTTCCTGCATAAGCAGGAATCCTCTGAGAATGTGCTTAGTCAATACTATCAATTACATATATGGGAATGAGGGACCAAAACCATCTGTACTCATTAGATTAATTGAGATTGTGTTTACTTTTAATAGTATAACCGGGAGGGAACTGTAAACACGTGCAGCTACTTTGAGCATTTAACAGTCCCATCTGGAAGGTTCTCCTAAAGAGAGATTCTGCTAAAGCTATTTTGGGAGCAATTCAGCTCCAGGTGAAGAAATCTTAAATTGATGTAATCAGTGGTGAGCTAGCTGATGCAAAGCCAAGGTAGCTGTCATATGGTGATCTGAATCATGTTCACTGAATGTGCTGATGAGGGGCTCAGTTCAATTACTGGCTCGCAGGTTTGATGCCATCTGAGATACCCTGGGGTACTCAAGACATCTGTGTGTAGCTGGCAGACACAGGACCCATAAAAGACCTTCTGGAGTGGCAGCTGGGGGCTTGGTGGGATCCCATCTGATGTCTGAAAGGGCAATCAGCCTTTCTGTGTACGCAGCTGGACAGAGCCCTGAGTCTCTGCTGACTGCAGTGTGAGCCCAAATATATGACTTACCTATAGATACCTATATCTGAACACGTTTTAGCTCTTCTTCTCAGTGGAGCATAGATGTTTTTCTAGACCACCAATATTATGCTTGCCCTGAGGCAGGAAATAAAATTTGGCTGAGATTAAAAATAGCTCATAGTGTTCATGCTTTCTGTTTTTATAATCTCCATGTGAAGTATGTTAAGGACACTTCCTGATTTGCCATAGATTGGTTGAGTAACACTTTTTTGAAAAATAGACACTTTAAAATGTGCCAAATTAAGGACACCAGGCATGTTGCTGTTCAAAACCATCTCCAAAAGCCACTGATGATGCAGCTTCACAGACTGGCATTCAGAGGCCATTCTAGTTCATGTACTCTTTGGAGCCTGTGTGCTGCTTGGGGTTAAGAAAAAGGCTTCAGAAATCTTTTGCTTGAGATTGCAGTTTTAACTGTGTAGCTAATCCTAATTATCTTCTTTCTCATGTGTGTGTTTTCTTTTTTTAAGATTACCCTTAAGGACAATGTGAAGATAGAGAACCACACAGACTGTCACTGCAGTACCTGCTACTATCATAAATCTTAAAGCCTGTCCCTTTGTTAATGACCAAGGACAACGGTGAATGGAATATTTGTTTTTCAGCTTTTATAGCAACGCTGTGTATAATCTTGTGTTTTCTGGTCAAGACACCAAGTAGACTTTTGAATGAGATGGATGGCTGTTTTATTTCCTCCCTGCTTCTTCATGCATTTAAGTAAGTTTAACTATTTCCATTAGGGATTAGATGCAGCACTTGCATGACAACCATAACCTTGATCTGTTTTTAAAATAAACTGTCAGATAAATTGTCAATGTTTCTTGAGGAAAAATGATGATTTCATAGCTTAAAACAACAACAAAAAAAAGAGATTTTGTAGTTTGTTTTCAAGTTTGTTTGTTTTATTTATTTTTCTGGGAGAGGGAGGAAGGAGGAAGAGAGGGGTGGGAAAGTGGGCAGAAAAAGAAACAGTAATTTCCCCTCATTCATTTAGTGGATTTTTTTTTTTTTAATACAACATATTGTTTTTCTTGCTTCTTTTTTGTTTGCTTTTTTTTTTCTTTAACTTGTGGCATAAAGCTTAACAGCAGTCTGTGCAACGTGATCTGCCTTTCTGTGTCATCTTTGATTTTGCTTGGAATTTTATCTTCTTCCATATTGATAAATGGACGCAGAAGGAGATGTTGTGAAGTGCTATGCAGTGTAGCAGTGCTAGAGGAAAGGCATAGCACATCTGTATTAGCTATTTAACGTGTGGCTGAGCAGCATGTCATAGGGCTTTAGAAATTCTCAAATGCAATGTGCTAGACTGAGATATACAAATTGGAAAGGAAGAGACTTTGTTAGGTCAGAAATGGACCACAGAATATGTATTTAGAATAGATGACCTCCAAGTTGTAAATGTGGATTTTAGAGATAGCACTTGTTTGGTTGTTGTAGGTTGGAGCAGGGCATCTGGAGGGACTGCTCATGAATCTGAAGCCTGCTTATATGAACATGAAATAAATCAATTCCACTTGTCTTAACCCAAATATCTGGAATGAGAACGTCAGTCCTGCTGTGATCACTGAACACAAAGGCTGTCTCCAAAGGCCTTAAATATATTTGTGGGGTACTTTCCTGCAGCAGATTCTGTGAGGACAGTGGTAGAGATGTACCAAATGCTTCTGATGGAGAAAGGGGAGGGTGCCTTTTGGTGACACTGAGAGCACGGCTGCTCCACCCTGGGGCATGGCGATAGCTGATGTCTTCTGCACTCCTGAATGACAGACCTGCAGGGCTAAGCTGTGATGGGGCCCTGGAGCAGCCCAGGACTGGCAGGGTCTAATAATGGCTTAAATCCACTGTACACCCCCTCCTGTCTACTGGAGTGAAAATTCACTGCTGTTTTCTAAGAATACCATAAGGTTTTGTGGCAAAGACTGCTCATGGACAGGGAAGAAAGCAAAATTATTCAGCACATGTTCAGTAAATTCTGAAAGCCTGATCCCCGCCTAATTCTACCTCTGGTTCAGTCTCATCTCTGGAGACACCAGTCTAGCTCAGTCCGGTGTTGTATTGCAGACTCAGCTGTGCTGTGCCATTCCTAAGAGATGTTTCACCTAATTTGCTCCTGGAGAAACTTCCAGTGGTTATTCCACAGTCTGTTGAGGATGGCTCTGCTACTTCTGCTGTTACTAAGATGGAAAAAAAATCACTCTCCTGGAAAGTTTTTTGTGATATTTTGTCTTTATGTTTGTTTCAGTGTTACTTTTGTTCAAAGGGGAGGTAGTCCAGTAGGGTGGTATTTAGTATGAGTTTAATAACATCAGCAGGAAAGGTTTTCATATTGAGAAGTCTAATTTCTCATTCTGGATCATCACTCAATACATTATGGGAATATATGTCAAGCAGCCACTAAAGCTGACTCACAATTCCAACATGTTGTGCAGTTTTATTAAACATGATTGATGCAGATACTTTCACAGGGGATCTGGATCCTGCCTGGGATTTCTAGGCAATGAGAGAGGAGTGATCTGAAGCTGCAAGCTGATTGCCTTTGAGAATGGCATTGCAATTTCTCATAACTTTGACAGGACTGAAATGGAGAGCAGGGGAACGAACACATTCTCCGAGGCTGCCTTGCAGTGGAGATGTGCCTTTTTGCCCTATGAAACGTTTCCTTGGGTGGACACTGACTCAAGTGAGATCCTCCAGCAGCACCTTCTACCTGCTGGTCTATTTGTTCTCATGCTGCACACAAGAGCAGGTTGGTGACATGATAAACTTCTGTTGGCATCTTTTAAACAGCTGCCATCTTTTTCATTGTGAAATCATAGAAATATTGAAAAGTAGTAACAAATTAGAAACCCATGCTTTGAAGAAGACATGGGATGCTGTAGCCCTGTATCATTCGTTCTAGAGTACCTACTCTGTTTTTCATTCTCCATGGCTCATTCCCTCTTGCTTGTACAAAACCACTTACTCCTCAGTTTCTCAACCCCTGGGTCCCCCTCCCCTCTGAAGTGATCTTTGCATTAAGGGCTAGCGAAGTGCTTACTGTGAGAGCATGTGGAATGTGTGAGCACTCCTTCATTACCTTATCTGGTTAAAGCCCTTCAGTCCGAAAGAAACACCGCTTAACAAGGAAAGTAATAAATTAAACACTGAGATACACAAACCTAGCAGCAGGTGATAAGGGAGAAAATGACAAAGAGCAGACCCCTTCAGCCCATGACCAATTGGCTGTTACTGACGAGCCCTGGGGTGGTGAAGGGATGGTGGCAGCAGTGAGGGTGTTAGTGTTGGCAGCCTGAGCTTTGTGACTGCTGAGAAATGGGAAATAAGCATAGGGAGATACCTGAAGGAGGCTTGTGGGGCTGTGCAAAGCTTACTGCAGGTTATCAGGAGGAGCTTACTTAGAGAAAGGGCCAAAGGTGGAAAAAAAAGGGTAGCAGTGGTCAGGGGGATTGGGGTGAACTAGGGAGGAGCAAGCACGGCAAAACAGAGAAGAAGTGGGTCTTGAAGGACCAGCCTGATGTAAGCAAGCTGCCAGTCAATATGCTTTATCTGACCGAGCCCTCTGCTTGATCACTGCACTATACCATCTTCTTATGAAATTCTTTACTTAACTATTTTTTTTTTTTTCTGTGTAATCTTACTGTCCTGTGTGCAAGTGCTGCAAAGCCTAAATGCTAGCAGCTGGAAAAGGGATACATATGAGTCCCACATGCCAAAGAGTGGTAGGAGCTGGGGGGACAAGGCTGTATGCTTATGTGAATATTTAGTCTGGGTCCTGAGATCCAGAGTCACCGGGAATCCCAGCTCAGCAAGGAGACATTCTGGCCCTGTAGCTTGCAGGATTCAGCAGCCAGCTCTGAGCATAAACTATCAGAATACATTTTTTTGATACTGTTTCAAATCAGGACAGTACTGAATTGTTTATCTGTGCATGTGAGTGGGAAAAGCAAATCCATAGCTAGGAAAGTTATGGTGCTCAGTGAGTGAGTTTGTGCCTGGTCAGGGCTAGGAAAAACATTGCTATGTGTCATGAGAAAGCTAATGCAGTTGAGAATGAGTGGTTGAGAAGTTGCTTGGGATATGAATAGGAATAGAAGCTGGAAGGCAAGGTAGACACATACTCATAAAGGCTAAACGCCAAATTTCCAGTAGAAATGGGAAACAGAAAGAAAAGTACGATATAGCTTCCTTGCGTCAGAAAATGGCTGGGACAGAGGGTAAATCAGTTCTATATACTTAAGAGGGGCGTTGAGAGAAGAGATTACAAAATCAGAAGGGACTGATCTCTTGTTTATGCCAATAGCCAGTATGCAGCTTCTGTGTTTCAGCATGAGGATGGAGATAAAATGAAGTCCTTGTCAGTGTGGTTTGTAAGTAGCAATAAATCAGTCAGGCGGATTAAAAATGCTGAAGATCATGTGGGCTGAAGATATAAATGATACATTTTTACTGTCACAGTGACCTACATAAACCTACATCACCGTGGCCCTAATAACAAATTCATTCTGTGCACAGAGGAGCTCTTTGACAAAGCTCTGTTTGCTGAGGGCTTGTGCCCAGCCTCACTGAAGAGCAGTTTGCTGTGTCCTCAGCAGATCCCTCTCTTTGTGGAGATCTGAAGTATTTACCTATCAATCAAAAAATGCCTAAAACTGAACTAGGGGTTAAAGTGCTGCTGAGGAGCAGATGTGTGGATGGTCAGTGTGGGTGCCTCCCCACTGGAAGATGTAATGATTCAGAGGTATTGCAATTTCCATTCCCTGTCTGACAAGATCAGGAGGGGTGAGCTCTCAGTTGGAAGATAAAGCCTGTGAGCCGTAGGGATTTTAATGAAATGAAATTTCTGACAAGGCCTCCTACTCTTTCCAAGTCTGAGAAGCTGCAAATTAGCAGGAGCCTTCCTTCCCTCATCCTTCAGCCTGTCTAAACAATGATTTTAAACAGCGGTCAGGGAGAAAGGGAAGCTTATCCCAGAATCTTTGCTGGCCAAGTGCAGACTGCATGGCTCCCTTTATGCAGCGGGGTGAAAGAGGGCTGCTCTGATGAGTCTGGAAGACAACTGAATACATTCATGTATAGAAGAAGCCTCCATAATGGGGAGAAGGCCATTTGGCTATGTTAGAGAGCATTGCCATGAAGAAAGAGATATGAAAATAGCTTTAGGAAATATGTAAACACATCTTGTGATGGAATAAAACCAAAAATTTGTTAGTGTCTGGAGGATTCCCCCTTTAAGGGGTTTCCCTATTGCTCTGCAGTTTCCTGTGTTTCTGGTGTATGATAACTAAACCCAGCAACTTGCTACAGTCACAGACACAACCACTGCTTATGCATCATACATACACTGTATACATATATGTGCACAGTCACTGTCCTGCCATACCATTGGACACATTGAGGTATGATAGAAACCAACGTTCTTTTAGTTCAGGGAAACAGCAAAAAAGCAGCTTTTTGGGGGGTGGGAGGTGATAGGGCCTCAGCTTAGTGTGATTTCTTGGGAATTTATTTGATAATTTGTTCTTCAAAATCATCTGTCTCTCTCCATAGTGTGGTTGTTTTAAAAGCATTAAAAATGTCTTTCTGGTCACCGCATTCATCTGTGTTGCCCAAGGATTCTTTCTGACTCTGGCCATATCAGATGTTGCTTTAGGGCAGCATAAGAGGCTGGCCACTTCTTGCAGACATTTCCCCTTGTATCATTTTCAGTACCCACATTGATTCTTGGGAGTATTAGAGAGTTCTTTTTTTCCTTGTCCTTTTTGTTGCTACTCATGGGCTCCTTTTCTATGAATTTATCTAGACCCATTTGAAGCTGCTGCTATTATCTCCCTCCATAACCTCCTGT